TATAAGCAAGTGGTTTTAGCCCCGACAGATGGGAGCAATGCCGTCATAGCAGTTTTGGACCCTGATGATGGTGAAGTGAAGTACTTCATATCGTGTGTCCTCCCGTTCGGCGCCACAGGGGCGGTCATGGCCTTCAACAGGGCGGCGAGTTCATTCAATTGCAGTCCTCATTCAATCAATTGCAATTCAATTAGAGTTCAATTCTATTTTGAATTGTTCATCAAACCTCAAAACCTTGTGATAAACAATCTTTATAAATCCCTTATTGAAAAACAATAGAAAATTGATCAAACCCATTCTGGAAAGGGTTCTCCCCATGAAGCCATCAAACCCTAAATAAAACTAACCGATTTTCATGAAGCCACCTTACCCTAAATAGAGTTTACCCTAAATAGAGCTAACGAATTTTGTTCATTCAAGTGCAGTCCTCACTCAATCAGTTGCAATTCAATAAGAGTTCAACTCAAATTCAATTCCAATTCAATTCTAATTTGAATTGTTCATCAAACCTCAAAAACCTTGTGATAGAGGTATCTTATTGATAAACCTTATTTGGAAAACAATTGAAAATTGATCAAAACCATTCTGGAAAGGGTTCTCCCCATGAAGCCACCAAACCCTAAATGAAGTTTACCCTAAATAAAGCTAAACAATTTTCCTGCAGGCGCTAAACCCCCCCAAAAAAGTGCACCCGAAATAAAGCTAGACAATTTGGCGTTCTGAAAAATCATTGAATGTACGTTTCATTGGTTCTATTAATTCCTTTCTTGACAGATTGCTTCTTTGGTAGACCAAAGAGGCTTCTGACAGCAGGGCCGGAGTATGGAATATGGTCGCCTGCCAGCTATGGGTAGATTTTTCTTTGAGACCAACACAAACTGAGCAATCTGAGCAAGTGGCTTGGTTGGTTGTTGGCTGGCCCCCTGATCCTCAGCAGAGGGGCCAAGGCCTGTTGGCATGGAATCACTGCTTTGTGTCCTATGGCAGCGCAAGCATTTTTTGGAGTGTCTCGATACCCAGCCAGTGAGCAGAGGAGAGAGGAGACAGCAAGACCTGTTGAACAATCCGCTCAGAGTGAGAGTGAGAGAGTGACACCCTGTGTCAACTGGCACACAAGGATTGTTTGGAGGTGATCTCTTGATCATGGAGGGCTGCCCTGGCAGTCTCTTGATCATGGAGGGTTGCCCTGAACCAAAACCATCTCCACAATGAAAAGTGCAGAAAGTGGCTTGGCTGGTCATCAAGAGAGACAGAGAAGCCTGTGGCAGGATTCTGAGCTGCTTGACAGTGGATACTGTCTCCAGAAAACCTGCTAGACTCTGGAGTCAGTCCTTGTGTCTTCTGGCACCGCAAGCAGTGTGTCGATCCTCAGCCAGTGGGCAGAAGACATGGAGGAGCCAGCAAGACCTGTCAGAGCACTGGAATCAGTCCTTGTGCCTCCTGCAACACAAGCATTGTTTGGATGTGTGGCAACGCAAGCATTGTGTGGAAGCGTCTCGGGCCTCAGCCAGTGGGCAGAAGACATGAGGGGCCAGCAAGACCTGTTAGAGCACTGGAATCAGTCCTTGTGTCTCCTGCAACACAAGCATTGTTTGGATGTGTGGCAACGCAAGCATTGTGTGGAAGCGTCTCGGGCCTCAGCCAGTGGGCAGAAGACAGTGGAATCAGTCCTTGTGTCTTCTGGCGACACAAGCATTGTTTGGAAGTGCTTCGATCCTGAGCCAGTTGGCAGAAGACGCGGAGGAGCTAGCAAGACCTGTTAGAGCAGTGCAATCAGTCCTTGTGTCTTCTGACCACACAATCATTTTTTGGAAGTGTGTCGATCCGCAGTCAGTGGGCAGAAGACATGGAGGAGCCAGCAAGACCTGTTAGAGCAGTGGAATCAATCTTTGTGTCTTCTGGCAACACGAGCATTGTTTGGAAGTGTCAGATTGTTCAGTTTGTGTTGGTTGGTGCTTTCTGGCTTTGTGGCTTAAAGAAAAAACTACCCATAGCTGACAGGCGACCATATTCCATACCGGCCCCGCTGTCGGAAGCCTCTGTGGTCTAGTGGTTGCGCGGATGGAGTCAGATGCTGAAGGCCCTGCATGCGAATCCCACTGTGGTCACTTTTGCGCTGTGAAACCGATCCACAATGGAGAGGAGGTCAATAGCCATAGCACCTCCCTCTATTGTGGCTCCTGTACACATCAAAACCATTTTGGAAAGAGCCACCAAACCCTAAATAAAGTGCATCCTAAATAAAGCTAAGGGTTTGTTTGGGGTCCAAAAATCTTTAGCTATTCTTAATTGGTTCCTTCTAAACTCATTCTGTTTTACAAAAACCTAGAGACCTTTGACGGCAATTCTTTACTCACCTCTTATTAAATTACACCAGCATAGACCCAGATAGCTAGGCAGAATCCCACGACTTGTTGACATGCGACGGGCTGGAACAAGAATGTACGCAGCCTGCACCGCCAGCTTTCGGCGCCTCCACAGCGCTGACACCAGCATCGGTGCGCGTTGCCAGCTGACAACACCGGCGGCGGCACCAGCGCCCGACCAGCGCCGCCGCCCGTCTTAAACGCGCGCTCAGCCACCAGCACCCAGGACCACAACACCAGCGCCAGCGCCGACACCCCTTCGAAAGCGCGTGCAGCCAGCTCATTCTTGGTTGCAGTAAGAACCCCATAGCTATCCCTAGTGCGATCTTGCGCGTATAAGTTTTATGCGGGCAAAAGTATGCGCGCAAACAGCAAAGCCCGTAAGTGTCATTGGCCCAAGGCCAAGCAGTATCCAGCGCCACTGTTGATGCTTGAAGCAACGATCTGTAGAACGATAAGGCCGTATGATCTTGCGCGTATAAGTTTATGCGCGAAAAAGTATGCGCGCAAACAGCAAAGAGCGTAGGCTTCACTCGCCCAGCACCGGCACCCAGCACAAGCACCGGCGCCAGCAACCTGTCTCCACCACGCGCACAGGCAGCTCACATCACCAGCACCGGCGCCCAGCACCGGCGCCAGCATGTCTCCACCACTTGCGCAGCCAGCTCACAGCACCAGCACCGGCACCCGGCGCCCAGCACCAACACCGGCGCCAGCACCCAGCATCAGCACCGGCGCCAGCAACCTGTCTCCACCACGTGCGCAGCCAGCTCACAGCACCAGCGCCGGTCCGGGCACCAGCATCAGCACCGGCACCAGCAACCTCTCTCCACCACGTGCACAGCCAGCTCACAGCACCAGCATCGGCGCCCGGCACCCAGCCCAGCACCGGCACCAGCAACCTGTCTCCACCACGTGCACAGCCAGCTCACAGCACCAGCACCAGCACCGGCGGCACCCAGCACCAGCAACCTGTCTCAGCCAGCTCACAGCACCAGCACCGGCACAACGATTTTTGTTCATTCAATTGCAGTCAGTCATTCAACCAATTGCAATTCAATTAGAGTTCAATTCAAATTCAATTCCAATTCAATTCTAATTTGAATTGTTCATCAAACCTCGAAACCTGGTGATAAAAATCTCTATAATCTATAAACATCTTATCAATAAATTATCCCGGCAAGAAACCCCAAACAGTGTGTGTGAGGTCTGTAAGCTGAAAGTCTAGAGATCTAGACGCAATTGGGGTGCAGAGAGGTGATGGTGGTGATGAAGTGAAGGTGGGTGTGAGTGAGTGTGGGTGAGAGGGAGTGTGAGTGTGAGTGAGTGGGAGAGTGAGTGTGAGTGCGAGTGAGAGTGAGTGTGGGTGAGAGTGAGCGTGAGTGTGAGTGAAGGTGGGTGCCAGCGAGTGTGGGTGAGAGTGAGTGAGAGTGGGAGAGTGAGTGTGAGTGCGAGTGTGAGTGAGAGTGAGTGTGGGTCAGAGTAAGTGTGCGTGAGAGTCGAGATGCACAGTGACGATGTCGAGAGGCATGAATGTACTGTAAATAGCAGCGAATTAGCCGTTCACGGCCGCGCGCTTCAGCGATCTAAGCATCAGCTGCTTTTCACCTACCGTAAGAACCCCTCAGTGTGCCCACACTGTGTGGGGAACAATTGAAAATTGATCAAAACCATTCTGGAAAGGGTTCTCCCCATGCAGCCACCAAACCCTAAATGGAGTTTACCCTAAATAAAGCAAAAGAAATTCATGCATGCGCCAAACCCTAAATAAAGAGTACCCTAAATAAAGCTCAAGAATTTTGTTCATTTCAATTCCCATTCAATTTAATTGACTAACTTATATTCAATTCAAATTCAATTCCAATTGAATTTAAATTCAGTTACAATTCCAATTGAAATTAAATTCAAACTAATTCAATTCCAATTCAAATCCATTTAATTTCAAAATCAATTCCAATTGAATTTAAATTCAATTCCAATTGAATTCAATGCACATTCAATTGAATGTAACTTCAAGTCCAATTGAATATTCAAATTCAATTCCAATTGAATTTAAATTCAAATTCAACTCAATTGCAATTCAATTGAATTTAAGTTCAATTCAAATTCATTTGAATTTAAACCTAATTCGAATGGAATTAAGTTTCAGTCAAATTCATTTCTAGATTGAATACTATGTCACCTTTTTTTTAATATTTGTTTTAGTAAGTAAGGGAAAATTTATCTTATTGTATTTGTTTTTTCTTAGAAACTTTATTTAGGGTCGTCCCAAATTCCAAAAATTTAAAAAGGGCAAACATTTTATTAATCAGAGGTCGACATTAGGTATATACACACATTCAAGACAAGAAGGAAGAAAGGAAGAAGGTGCAAACAAGCAGGCAGAAAGGAACCCACCCGAGGATCACATTTAGAGCAGGAAAACTCAGGAAGGCACGATTTAAACCTTGGAGCATGCCTTTTGCAGGCCACCCATGGTCAAAGTTCAGAGCAGGAGGGAACCATTGCAACACAGCACACCTTTTGTAGTCCACCCAAGGGCAAAATTTAGAGCTGAGGTGTTCTTCTCCTTTCACTTCCCCTCCGTGCCATGAAATCTCCAACATTTTGGATTTGTCGTTAACCCCCTTGCAGGTCCGGATGTGCTACTGTCTCTCGTGCATGTGCCTTATGACCACTTTTGTTCGGGCAGCTTGGATACCACTTGCTCTTGGGAATGGTTTGTTGCGGTAAAATCGGAGGTGTCACTGAGATGAGTTTGGGTTTTGTGTCAGCCGAAACGCGTGCTGTGTCTTTAGGGATGGTGGCAGAACCCTTTGAACCAAATTTTTTGCAAGATGATTCGACAAACGCGCAACTGATTGTTCTGACCTTAAGTGGCAATGGTCTTCCGGAAGCGTTTTCTGGGCACGCGCTCGATGGTTTGCTTTACACTGTGGTGTTTTGACACTAAGATGAGGACATGAAGGTGGTTGACGGCTCTTAGTGATGTGACCAACAGCATCGAAACATATGCTGTCCATGTTTGAGACCCATGTATATATATATATATACCATATTAGTTTCCATGTTGATGCATGTTGATGCATATGTGTATACATATACCGTTTAATGTTCATTACTTTTGTGTCTCTTGCGCTTCCGGGCGCGAAGTTTGGAAAAAACAATATATAACTAATCTGTATTCTGTGCATCTCAAAGTGTCGATGCATTCGTTGATTGTTCCCTACCTTTTTGTGTAGGATTCCTACTTTTAACGTGCATCCCGTCCACCGCCTCCTCCCTCCTCCTCCAATTCAACTCACACCAACTCAACATAACTCAACTTACTTGCGCTCCTGCGTTTTGCTCTTAAGGGAATGGGAGGCTTTGCTGATGTGCCCTTGGCCCCTTGCTTTTCCCATCCCAGGATTTCAGGCACGCACGCACGCAGTCACTCAGCCCCTCACTCATGACAACACAGTTCACCACCTTACTTCAAAGATGTATGCATAGCTACACTTATCATCCGCACGCACTCCTCCGCTATCATTCCTCTTCCTCCGCTTTTGACTCCCGTTCCTTGTACTGTAAACACAAAAGCGTCAGAATTGGGTTATCCGGCATTTAATGTGTTTGTCCAAGGTTATTCAATTTCCTGTTGGAACCCCCACTGCATGCCACTCGGCATTTTTTCCTGTAATTAGCCCGTGTCATTTCTCAGTGACCTGTTTCCCCGCGTTTCTTGGACATCTCACCACACCTTCCCACTGGCCTCCGTGGTCTCAACCCGCGCGGTGAGACTGCACGGTCAAGCCGAGGCTCACCGCTTTCCAATGGAGCCCGCCATCGCCAAAACGGGCTTGGTTCCCCAGAACGCCCCAGAACGAATTCCGGCGCCGGTCCGGCAATGCTCGCGCCAGGCGCCAGAGTCGGCCTGGGTGTGACATCCCAAGCTCGTAAAGAACAAATGGGACGGGACGGGGCTAGAAGAAATCAAGACAAGACAGCTTGGGCAAACCATCACTTTGAGAGAGACCCTACCTAATTACATCCAGAAAACTATGAGGGAAACAAACATCCTCGCAATCATAACGGATCATTTCCTCCAAGCTGGCCCACGATGCGTGAACTATAGACTCTCCGAGCGGACCGCGCTGCGTCTTTGCATGTTTTCTGAGTGTCGTCCTCAATTGGATCTACGACCCAGGTCTGCCTGGTCAACGAGTTTGATCGAGTGTGCACAGTGCACAGCAGACCAGTAGATTCTAGATTCTAGATACTGCGTTCCTTGTTTATCATGACACTTTTTTCGAGGGTATGTGTGTTGATGAGCCTGGGATTCGTTTTCACTCGTCACCTGAGGCCGATTCTATTTGTATGTTTGGGACTCAGTTGGCAGAGTTACGGTCGCAGCATGTCGCAGCTGCTTTTGGGTCTCATTCGGACCCATTGCGATGATTGATCGAACACGGCTGATAAATTGATGGGTGATGGCTTTGCAAGCTCTTGCCTCGCGGTTCTTGAGCAGCTTCAGACCACATCTCCGACCCTTCGACACGGCCCAGGTCGTCACTCGGAGCGACCTCGGAACCCATTTGGAAGTCTAAAGTCTAAACGCCCCACCATTGCAACGGGCTCGGATGACATCCAAGATGTGGTACCAGAATGATAAAAAGACCTCCTTTGTGATCACGAATGGGCAGTGATCTGTGAAGGTCTACCTGCGCATTGCAGGTGAAATACGTGATTTGGAGCTGCTACCCTCTCGTTTTTGCCTTGCGTTCCTGTGGCATCATCAGCCCGTGGCAGGAGGAGGCTGGGATCCCATGGGCCCAACAGTCATTCAGCATCAGAGATCTACCACCCAAGTGCACCAAGAGACCAAAGACATCCAAAGACCAAGATGTGCATACAGATGTATACAGTATATAATATATATTTATAGCATATATATAGAATATGGCATCTATGGCATAGGTTTAGCAGAACGCCATTATGCCTTCATGCCTTCGAAGTAGATGTTTTGGGGGTGCTGTTGCTGGCCAGCTTGTAGGGCTCAATACGCCCGCAGGTCCTATGCTACACAGCCCTGGATTTAATCTCGAAGTCCTTGTCACTGAGCCTTGGAGCGAGAGTGGCAGTGGTACTTGTCCATTGCCAGAATTCACGGGTGTGGCTGTGGTCACCACCATTGACATCACGTCTCAGGGCATTTAGACAGGACTATATAAGTCACTTTTCGGAGAGTATTGTTGCAAGTGCCCACTGGATCCTGGTACACGGAGGCACCTTCAAGCATGGGCTGAATTTCTTGTCTATCACAGGCGTGTCCCAGCCAGCTGCCCCCAGGGCAGCAGCCCAGCTTTCGCCCCTCCCAATCCACACAGCTTTTTTTTCCCCAAGCTCGGCTCATGAATGAGGATTGCCAGCTCGACGGGTCCGCTCTTCACACTCTTTGTGAGTACCTGGGGCCATTGGCACGTCTCAGGCACTGCGGAGTTTGTGTCGTCTCAGCGGGTTTGGTAAGGGTTTACTATCAGGTCATGAGTCATGAGTGTCATAATTTTCCCGTGGCCTGCCCGGCGTGACATGATTAGTTGGCTTCTTGCGTGAAAGTGCAGGACAAAAAGAAAACAGATGTTTGGTGTGTCTAGCAGAGATGGGACCTGTCAAGCTGTTATGCATCAGCCTCGCAACCAGGCAAGCACGACAAGACAAAGCAGTCACTAAAGGACAACCTTTCCGTTAGAGCATTAGTACCTTGGTTTGGCACAACCATCCACCATGCACCACTGTAACCCAGAGCAAGGCCTTGTAAAGCGAAGAACGTGAACAGCTTCAAAACTTCATTGCAGGTTTGTTATATTGATTTTTGCCATTGGACCTCTCCGCTCAGGCGGCTTGCATGATATCCGAGTGACGGTTTCAGATCCTGCTTGGTCGGTTCAATCCGTACAGATGGAACAATTGGGTGGAGATGCTGAACAGCACCTTGGCAGATGAAACACGCAATGTTTAAGTCTGGCCATCAGCAGGTAGTCAAGGTATAGATGATCCGGGTATGTCCAGGGTAGTGTGTTCCCTTGACATGTTTCCAGGGATATCTGAGGTGTTCGAAGGATTGTGACTGTGTGTCCACTGTAGCTCCTGAATTCATAGCCCCTTCTTGAAGGAAACCAAGCTGCTCGCACAACGTCGTCCATCCCGATACTTCTCAGTCCACACAGTGGAATTCCAAGTATATATATAGCTCTCAAAAGTTGGGAGTTCCATTGCGTTGTCCTGCCCTGAGCTCAACAGAATGAGGATTACTGGGCTTTCAAGCGGCAGTGACTTCTTGCGAGAGGCCAGGGAACTGCCTCATTGCCTGTCTGTGAGTTGCTGAGAAGACACATACTGTGCACAATACGTGTATAATTAGTATTAGTACAGTATGTATTAGTGCATAATAGGAAACATATATATATATACTACTATTCATTATAGTTATAAGAATTTATGATTTTGGTTGATGCTATACACCACGCATTAATAGGCATCATGAGAGTATGCGTTGGCCACGTGCACTTCTGCAGGGGGCAATAGACAATACTGCTGAATTTCTGGGAATTGGGACGTTTAGGGTAGTGTTGCCTGGGAATGTGGTTGCCTGCCGTGCGCATGGTTGCCCTTCAAAGGAACTGAAGAACCACAGGCCAACTACATGAAAAGCCGGAATTGACGCAAGCAATTGCCTCAGAGTTGCCAGCTTATGGCTGCATGCTAGGCAATAAATAGCAGCGAAGATCGCCGGCGCCTTCAACAGATTGCGAAACAGGCCGGGAGACGTTCAACAGTTGCTGCTATTGCTATAGAATGCTATAGACATAATGTGGAGCTTGCGATATCAAAGAATTTTTCAGACAACCCGCACTGTTGTGATCCCGATATCTGCTTCAGCGGCCGTGGAGCTGCACAGGTTGATCGTCAGCTGAGCTTCATGGCTCAGAAAACAATGCTTAGGGTTGGGACCTCAGCTTCGTATCGGTGGAGATGCTTTGAGAGACAGAGAAAAACGAGGAAAAGCGAGAGAGAGAGAGAGAGGGAGGGAGGGAGGGAGGGAGAGAGTGGGGGATGTATTGTACATTGCGCAGAGGATGTTGGCTGAGGTCAGTCTTGCTGGGGGTGCTCGCGCTCCAGCAGAGTGTTCCTTGCCCAGAAGGGCGGGCTTTAGATGGGATGTGGGGCCTGAGATGTGTTTCTTTCTGACCTTCACTTGTGCAACTGTATAAGTCACAAGCATCCCGCATACCAGTTTGTAAGTCGGAGACCTGCAAGTGAAATTGTTTTGAGCTGTGCTTTGTGCTTCCCATCAAGGAGTCTAGTGTCAGGGCAAGAAAGGTTTCCAAGAGTATCAAGGGGGTTCGTGTTTGTTCTTTTCAATCCGACATTCTTTGGAACCCTTTGCCGTCGATGCCTACATGATACATGTTGTACATCAATTTTGGAAAGCCATTGAGGCTACGTTTCCCGGAGCCTTTGGGGCAGCCGGCAGCTCGCCATCACCTTGGCAGATCTCCCACCAGGACCATCGAGCCGCGCTGGGCTTGGGATGGGCCATGTGCTTCCATTGTAAATGAATGATATGAATGGGCTCCACTTTGAAGATCGCATTCCTGCAAGTAGAGGGTAGCAAGAAGTATCAGCCATTTGCAGGGCTTCAGAGGTTGGATTGAACGCCAACGGCAGAGGAGAAACATTCGGAAAGGCGGGGTCATGAGAGCGCGGGAGCTGCAGTTGAGAGCGCGGGAGCTGCTCAGGCATTTGAATGGGTATGACCCATGTTCCCAATCCCTCCAGATGGGCAGAAGAGGTTTGTAGGCACATGCGTTCTGATTAGGTAGCAGGTAGGAGCTTTCTTTCTGGAACAGGTGAGCCAGTAGTGGTGTAGAGGTTGCCAGCAGGTTTTACAGACAGTTCTAGCTAAGAGATACCCTCTTTTTCGAAAGGGCAATCGCACATATATACACCCAGGTGAAGGAAAACAGTCAAAGCGGGTTGAATTTCCTCCACGTCACATGACATGTCCATGTTGGTATTCAGCAGCTTTGGTAAGGGCTGTGTCAACACATGTGATAGGTATTGATTGGCAGGCCCCTTTGTGGGTTGGTGTTTTCAATGATGCACAGACTGACATACCCACCGTGAGGTTTACTCGGTTTACTCGGATTTTTGTTCGGGTGGCGCAGTGACCTGCAACGAGTCGTTTGATGTTAAGCGCTGTGTAGGGATGTTCGATGCAAAGATGCCAAGCTCGGGGTGGTTTCGGGTGGTCGGTGTCCAGAATCCAGGCCTCAAGGTTTTTGTTTGGTTGCCACAGGTTTGATTGGTTTTGCCCAGTGTGCCTACCGGATTAGAAATTTTCATAGAACATTGCATGTCATTGCCGCTCATGGTCGTTCAAGACCCACCCTTGTCCGGTGCAGTTGTTACTAAACTCTTTGTGTGTCCCGGCACTTGCCACGGCCAGCTGGACGATGATGATACTCGCAGCCCGGGAGAGAGCCATGCAGGCGTGCTGGGCGGCGGCCGGCCGGGTGGCGTCTTCAGACGAACATGTCACGCCCCCTTTCAATCCGTTTCACCAGTAACAAGTGCATCGCTACTAGGAGCAAAGGGCATCGTTACTAGGAGCAATGACGCTACTAGGGGCTCTTGGCCTTAGTCCTAAGAACGAGAAGCTACTAGTAACGAGTGCATCGATACTAGTAACAAGTTCTGCCGTGGGTAGCAAAGGATGATCGTCTTCCAAGAGTCATGTCGACAAACTCAGATGTTAAAACAGATTCATCGGCCTGCGTTGGACGAATACACACCTCGACCAAGGATACAGTTGCGGTTATGTATATATATACTGTATATATATATATATACACGCAAATTGTACGCAAATACGTAAAACACAATATTTGTATAGTTATATTATTGAATTGGTTTTGGATATGTGCAAGCGACTGACACCCAATCCACAAGCAAAAACTTAGAACACATGCAACAAATGAAACATTTACGTTTGCATCAGTGGCCCGCTTTCCTTGTTCACTGTTGTGGACCCAACTCATATCGTGTGATCCTACCCAGTCAACATGAAGCTTCGCTTTGGCCTTTTGGGGTGTTCTCTCTATGTTGAATCTCAGAAGGCTCCTCTTAATTGTGAAATTGGGTCTTCCAGTCTTACCGTTAATTCCAAATCGCTCCACGAAGTGTAAGTTTTAGATTTGGGTTACTCATGAAATGCTTGCACCCAGGCACCAACACACCAACGTCGGCTTCACTTCCCTAGCCCAGGAATATCAGATGAGGAGTCGATGAAGACTCTGATCAGTACCACCAGGGGGCAGTCGTCATCTGCAGCTCCCCAGGCTTCCTGCTGGACGACTCAAGCGTTTGCATACCACGCGTGTATGATGGTCCTCGAAGTCCGCGCGCGCGCGCGCGCGCACGTGTGCACACTGGAGGTATTAGGGACTTGAGGAAAGTCATGTCATGGCCTAAGACCCACTTGCTAGATAATTCAGGTGAAAAGGGCAGTGACGCCTCCGTCGATCTACAAAAGACGCAGAAACCATGAGACAATTGAAAGATGTTGAAAACACAATTATATAGTTTTAGTACATGCATTCATATGCATTCATTGTCCATTAATTGTCCATTTCAACACTGCAGCGTCATTCGGTTCCATGGTGGACAGCCATAAGGTGTGTGTTTCAAGATGTCCACCATGAAATCAACGAACAAACAACACAATGTAGGCGCAGGTTCTCCGCCTCCCAGGTCCACCCATCGACTGTGGGCCATTTGGGCCGTTGGTTCGTGCACACCGAAAGGGGGAAAGATGGCCTCCTACCTAGTAGCGACGGCCTCCAACCTAATAGGCAGGAAGATGATGACTCAAAAGGCCCGATCACCCCCAGCTTCGACGACGCCCAATTGTAGTTCTTCGGACATCAGACACCAAGTCTCCCTCGTTGCGCGGTAGCTACCCGACCAAAGAAATGTTTAAAGGCTGTCCAGCACATTTTTGCAGATTTACTTTCCGACCTATTGGACAAAAAAGGGGGTTCACTTTTTGTTTGATTCAATTCTGAGCAGTTTGATTCAGTTCTTCCGTGCGTTTTGACCCTCTTCCTGCTGCACATTTAGATTGGAGAGCCAATGGGCCATAATGGGCCTATGTGCAGCTAGCCCCCATTGAAGTTGTCAAGGGCACTTTGTGATGTAGACAATAGACTGTGTCAGTTGCAAAGGTTGGCTGACCAGAGAGTGGAGTGCAAAGCAATGAATGTGCAGACCCAAGGGTAGAAAGCCAATAACCGCTGGACTCGTTTCATTTCGCTTCATGTTTTGTGTTACTTGCCATTCCCGGTTTCCACCCTGTTCAAGAGCACAACCCAGAAACTGAAAGTTATTAGAAGAGTCGGTGGAGTTTCAAAGCAGAAGGGGTAGAGTCGCGTGTCGTGCAGAGTAGGGAAGGGCACAGAAGAACATAGCACTGGGAGAGCGTTAAAGCTCCACTGGTTGATCTTCTTGAAACATTCTGAGGTAGATATTGCCATGTATATAAAAACTGTATTATTTGTATATATATATAGAGTTGTTGCAAAAGCCATGGTAACCCAGCAACAAGAGCAGGAAAGGATATTATTGTTGGATTTCGGATTCGCAGCTGACATCGAAAAACATGAAAACATCTCTATAATCATGTGATGGTTGAGGGTTGAGTTAGGCACTTTTGCCACTGAGCGCTGGGAGTAATACACCAATCTCATTTTCAGACGATGCAGTCTTGGTTGTAGCGGACCGGTTTGCCCGGCACGCCAGGTGACTCAAGCCCATCTCACCTCTGCTAAGGCCACCATAATATTTCTCGGATCCTTCAGCTTTTAGCTAATCATTGTTCCACTCAGCTTCAGTCTGAGCAAGACTTGTGAGAGCAGACACCTGTGGCGATGCATTGAGAAACGTTGAGGGGAGTACTTTGTTTTCTCCGATGGGGGTCGAGGTCATTTGAGGGCGGCCATTGAGCATGAGCACATCCTGAAGCACTTTAAAATCATCAGTTGTTAACATCGTCAAGCGTCTCTTGTTGTCCAACATTAATCAAACCAAGTGTGAGGTTTTCGGCGAACAAGCTTGGTTGGCTTACCCCCATTCCATGCATTCTTGTGACTGTCAGAATCAGCCTCCATTAAGCCTATCTCTTTGTGGTCCACGGCTCGGCTGGCTGTGGCAGGTGGCGCTACACCAGTACTTACATCAGAGAGCCACACTTGCAGCAGCGACACCAGACATGGTGTAAGAAGGATCAGGTGCAAGTTCAGGAGACAGAAGTGGGGGTCGACTTCCAAAGTGAAAGGGCTGGATCATGTTGTATACATGAGTCGAGCCACGAACCAATACGTCCAAGTGTGCTCTAAGTCTTCATGTTTGAACAACACGCCGCCGTTTCTTTGTCAATGGTTCAATCAACGACCATGCCGGAGTGTTTGGGGTGTTCTTCGAGCTGGGGGAACATTTCCACCCGATGGCGGCCATGAGTCCATGCTTATTTAATCTTATTTAGATCATTCAAGAACAGTGTTTGGAGCTAGAGACGTCCAGAGGTTGTGTACGGTTTGCTGATTTCCCGTTTGGGTGAGCAGATCAGGACATCAATGGAAATGAATACGAACACTGCTGCCCCAAACCCCATCACCCTGCAATCAGTTGGGATAATTCTACCATAGTTTTCTGACTTTCGTTTATTCCCGGGCTTTGGCTTCATGTGCACTTCTTGAGGAGTTTTTGGTCAACCACTTGGAGATCATACACCGCCTGACAACGGGACAACTTACAAAATGTGAAGTTGAGCACCTAGGTTGGAGGCCATTGCTACTAGGTTGAAGGCCATTGCTAGCAGGTTGGAGGCCATGGCTATTGGGGTTCCTTGTGCAATTAGGTTGGAGGCCATTGCTTCTATTTTGGGTCGAGTTCGTGGAACCCCTCGTGCCGGCCAGGCCAGGGAAGCCAGGGCGGGAGCAAGGAAGATGCTTGATGACATGCCTGGATATTTGTTGTGCTCAATTGCCATTGAATGCCTACCAGGCCTGCCATCTTATCATGTGTTTGGAAAGTTGTTGTCATCAAGATCATTGAGTGGCGACTCACATGGGGTATGTTGCTTCCAATGCTGAGCAACACATCCGCCCCATGGATGTGTTCAGAGCCCGAATGGACGCGGACCGTGTGTTGCGGACGGATTTGCGACCAAGATTTCGCGTGGCTATGTGATGTAGTTGCTGTGGAGCTACTTCTTGTTGGGAACTTTCATACAGGTTGTAGAGTTCCGCCCTCTCCTGGCCGAGTGAATTCCTAGCATGTGTTCGAAAACATATGAAAACCTGTAGCCCAACTACTTCGATTCTCTTTTCCGAGCTTCGCTGTTTTGCACCGCGTATGGCGGCACAGCATACGCGAAGTTCCTGAAGTCCAAGGACGCAAGACGTGGTACATCCAAGAGATCTACTGTATATATGTTGGTCATCCAGATGGTTCATCCATGGACATGAAGCTGAAAATTACATTTGGATTGACCCGCCCTCCCATGTTAGACCATGAATCAAGCATTTTTGCTCCCATGTGAACAGTAGGTGTTGATGTCCCACCAGCTGTCCAGGCCAGCCCTGTTTGTCAATCAATCATACTTATATAATATATATATATATACTATATATAGTTGCTTATCTAATATAGTATAACAGTAACATATGTAGTGCAGTGACCTTGATGGTTGTTGGCCCACGAGATAGTGAGTCACAAGTTGTCTCCCGGTTCATTCCTTCTATATAAGGCTTCTTTGATGACTCAGATGCAGAACCCCCACCCAAATGAAAACAATTGAAAAGATTGTGGAGCTATGTATGACGAGTAAGCTGCTGGACTTCATCCGGAGACGAGCACATTGGAACGCTGAAGAAGGAAGAAGTGCACGGTGCAGATGTTACTGCTCAAGGCAAACACGACATGACAGAGATACACTCCGAGATACACGGAGTGTCTAAGAAGTGGAGGCTGTTGTGATTGCTTGCGCAACACGGGATTGTTTTGTGAAGCTTTAGACCTCAAGCAGCACAAGGAAGTGGCCAAGCAGTAACATACTAGAAAGTCACCCAGATGTCCTCAAGGTGCAGAGCTTCTTCCCGTGGCGGATTTTCATGTGCCTGTTCAATTCTGTTGGATCCTTTCTGCCGCTGACTGCAAGAATGCTGCAGCCACGGCCACGTTCGTTGCCTGTTGTTCCCGCAAATAACTTGGCACCCCACAATCGGCCACTGCTTCGTCGGAGGTCCTTTGATTGAGCCCTCCATAATTCCACAAGCACCTAAATCTACGACAGGTGCTTGAATCAACTCAATTGCGCAGGTAGAATGACCGTTGGTACTTTCTATTGCGGCTTGTGTTGCTTTCTCCCCAATGCTTAGCAGTTAGAGAAAGGATAGAGACTGCCCCATGGATTCTGCTTGATGCCCGAACGCCCAAATGTAAGCAACTTTGTGTGTATGCGGCATATTAGCCCAGCTGGAGACCCCAATAGCAAGATACAAACCGGGACAAAAAGAAAAATCTGGAAACAGCTGCTGTTTTCAACACATCGACCATCTCTTCCTTGGACACCATCATCACATAACCGGGACACCATCAAAACATGACCGAGACACCGTCACAACATGACTGGGACACATTCAAAACATGACCGGGACACCATCACAACATGACCGGGACACCATCACATGACCGGGACACCATCACAACATGACCGGGACACCATCAAAACATGATCGGGACACCATCAAAACAGGACCGGGACACCGTCACAACATGACTGGGTCACAATCAAAACATGATCGGGACACCATCAAAACATGACCGGGACACCGTCACAACACGACCGGGACACCATCACAACATGACTGGGTCACCATCAAAACATGACCGGGACACCGTCACAGCACGACCGGGACACCATCAAAACATGACCGGGACACCATCACAACATGACCGGGACACCGTCACAACATGACCGGGACACCATCACAACATGACGGGGACACCATCAAAACATGACCGGGACACCATCACAACATGACCGGGACACCATCAAAACATGACCAGGACACCATCAAAACATGACCAGGACACCATCACAACAGGACCGGGACACCATCAAAACATGACCGGGACACCGTCACAACACGACCGGGACACCATCAAAACATGACCGGGACACCATCACAACAGGACCGGGACACCATCACAACATGACTGGGACACAATCAAAACATGATCGGGACACCATCACAACATGACCGCGCCACCATCACATGATCGGGACACCATCAAAACATGACCGGGACACCGTCACAACACGACCGGGACACCATCAAAACATGACCGGGACACCATCACAACATGACCGGGACACCATCAAAACATGACCGGGACACCATCAAAACATGACCGGGACACCATCCGCCCACCAGCTCTGACGGTGACCCGACGGCGCCCGTCCGCCTATTAGTTTTGCAATACCCCATAGCATGGCTATTGGGGAAATATATACATATTTGTTGTATTTGTTTTTGTGTGCACTGATATACACTTAGGGAGATTCACTTTATCCACACCTTAATGTGATGACGATGATGATGATATTAAACAGTGGTGGCATGAACGACATGCTTTGTTGCAACACAGTTAACTGCCAAACACTGTGCTGTGCATGTTCACTGTGGATGCTCGGGCCCTTGCGCCCTCCGAATGGGACAGGTTTATGGCGCGCAGGACGCGCTCGCTTCACAGCTTCCAAAGGCACAAAGACTTGAAGACGGTACGCGGAGAGCGAGCGTGCGGTGAGGGTGCGAAGCTGAGGTCCAATGGTGAGTAGAGATTTGTCTTCTGATTGGATGAGAAGCTTGGAGCCGAACAAAGAGACCCCACGGCCCGAAGACAAGTTTGATCATGATGTGTCTACTTTCAAGAGGGAATGAAGGCGCCATCGCGATCAGACAGGGTTGATTACCGAAGGCATCTCCACTTCTCAGAGTAGAGGTAGGCATGACAACCACTCACCCACAGCCATCTAAGCTTTTGGGGAGCGTTGCTTTGGAAAAATGCACCTGCATTCAGTTTGTGAACACTAATGCTGCTTGCTTGCAATCCAGCCGGTGATGTGGTTTTTGGTTTTGTTTGGGTTTGTCGTTGCTTCAATCATACAGCCGGATTGCTTGTTTCCCCCTGGAGAAAAGAATCTAGGTGTGGAGGGTTTAGGGCTGTTGTCCCTGATGTGGCCTGGGGTTGGCCCTTTGTTCCTGGGGGGCTGCCCTTGGCTCTTGCTAGTGTTGTCCAAAAGGGGAGCTTCTGCGATCTGGGGTGTGCAGGGTTTAGAATTAGATCATAATGTTTCATGAATATGGAACTGCCGGTTCTTGCCTTGCCGGGTTCGCTATAGCCAATAGTTGCTTTTGGCAACAAGCAGGCAAAAAAGCAGCCAACACATGCAAACACACAAACTATGTTGCGAGGTGAGGCTGCCGAAGTCCGGTGAGTGTGTATGTCGTGGCATGGATGCTGGTGTATGTACAGATAAGAGGGTATGGCTATAGCTGCTGGCGTTCAGTCTTGGGCAACGTCATGAAATGTGGTCTTGTGTGATATACATTTGCGCTGTGTATGCTGTGTGCTTTGCATTCATTTGACAAACGTGCTGCCAACCGTGAAGCAACGACGTTTCTTTGCACAATCGTCGTAGTTTCCATGTATGTGTACATATATGCACATACATCCGGCAGATATGTACAAAGAGCCTTTGCTGCTTGTGCTCAACAGGCCATGCTCGATGAAACGCACCTGCTTTAAAATATGCAAAATGGGCACAGTGGGAAGTATGGAGACGGTGAAGTATCGGGAAGACCCTTGCTTGCCCTTCATGTTTGCATTGATGTCACCGTTTCCGCTGGGCATGTTGGGGCACTGCAATACAACTGCACGTGCTGTGGCACACTGGTGAAATAGAATAACACTCGCCAGCGTCTTCAAGAACCTGCGCAATTGGGTGGTGGGCATTTTTGAGACCTCGATACAGCTGTGTCAAGCCGATGTGAAGCACATGTTCCACTGTGTGCTCTATGTGTTTATCCCCATCGTCCCCATGCGGATGACAATTTCAGTTCGACATCTATCCATTCCATTCATTTACGAACTGATGGGCTGATCGTCATCCAGCTTGGGCGGCTCGCCCGGTACCGAATCAGAGGACCATGTGGGCGGGCCACCTAGTGACCTAGTGATTTGAAGGCCCTATGCGGCCCTGCTCAGGATTGCACACTGTGTGAAAAAGAAAGGCTTTTGGAGGGGTTTGATGCTCCTGAACACTGTGGTGCGAGAGAGAGAGAGACAGACGGACATGCAGACCGATGGGCTGACAGACAGAAAGAAAGATGGAATAAAAGGGAAACAAACTGACATCAGGCGAACAAGACTTAGCTGGATAATGTGGATTGTTTCAATCAGATTCAGCTGTTCGAATCAGCACTGCTGAGAATTGACACAAGTGACACAGTGATGCCCATGCAGGTGACCTTGACCTTGTGATTGATGACAATTATCTCGCGCTTTCATTTCTCTAATGGAGGGATGGTTCCCAAATTCAGTTCCTGAAATGAGGTTTCTCACTCAAGTTTGCCTCGCTCTGGATGCAGATGGTCTGTCAGTTTGATGGACAAGCTCACAGTGGTCCTGGTGGTTCACCGAACGTGTCACACTACCCATTTTTATGATTTAACGATGCGGGCAGCGTTAGGAAATTAATTGGAGGTACCTACTGAGTTCAAAATTATTGTTTTTTTTGATTAATTTCTGAAATTCGACCTATATATTATATATAACAGGATTGCTGACAATGATGAATATTAATTTTGGCAAACTTCAGTTACTGGAGGGGTCCTGGATTAATTTCTATTCTGGCTCGTGGTTGTTTGCGTGCGGTTGCCGATGCGTATTGTGGATTCTCCTGGAACCGCGGCCATGGGAGATCAGTTGTTTAATACTGGGGGGGGTTGCAACAACTCAATGACCTGCAAATTAATTTTGTGTTTTTTGAGCGAGTTTTCGTGTTCTCTGGTATCTGGGCAGACTATGCAGTTTAATTGAGTTGACGTAGGATGACGTAGGGGGTTTGGCGGAAGGGGCCGCCAGACAGAACAGGACCAACGATGACAAACGCAGAAACGCAGGGCGAGAAAAA